GTTGACTCACTGTGGATTTTCAGCAGTGTCGCATCTGAGCAAAATTGGGCAAGTAATATTTTAACACGAGAATCCTACAACCAGCCTCTCAATATTTTCCGGAGCTATATCTGTTTAAACACATAAGCATAACATGATGATCCCCGATTCAAACCAGATGGAGGAGTAGGTTTGCCTGTTCCAAGGACTGAGAAATCTAGTTCTCAGGACTCGCAACTAACCCTAGCAATTTGCTTTCTCGCAGCTGAGATATGGCTCTGTTCTTGCGACTCTACCCCTCTCAAAGGAAATAAATTGTAAGATGCGTTTCCTGGGGTTTTAACAATGAAATATTTTACTTTTAAAAAACATGTTTTCTTTTAGGGCTCCCTTCTAGAGCAGGAGAACAGCAGGAAACATCACGATCATGCTGCAGTGACTAAGAGAAGAAATTCAGTTTCATGTCACTGCGAGACCTTCTGCAAATGCCAACACCTACACAATGTTGCACACTGCAGAGAGAGATGGATGCTGGCACCTTAATATAGGCTTTGCGCTACAATTCAGTCATTGAAATTCAAATTAGTGCAGAGGTGGAAGGCAGCAGAGTTTCAACAAGATATGAAGAAAAAAAGCCATTCTTCCACACAGACCATCAATAAGTCAGGCCTCCAGCATGAAAAACATTCAGCAAGAAGAAAGAGACTGGAACCTTTGTTTTCAATAGCTAAGATACCTTCCAGCTTTCCCAGGAAATAGTGGACTCGCATGCTGGAAAGTGTGCTTTAGACTAGACTGAAGAGCTGTCCTAAAGCAGACATGGTGCCAGCCACCACTGCGATTACCCCAGAAAGCAGAAGCCCTACGCTCAAGGTTTCCTGCTAGATTTTAAAATAGCATAGGTGGCACCCATATTTAGATGCAGTTATTTTTTTTACAACTGTATGCCTAATTATAGGACACAAAGACAGACATCTGGAGGTGGGAAACTAAACTAGAAATCCAAACTAAGAGAAAGCTCCTCAAAATACTTCCTGCTTCTCTAGAGTCCTATTGTACTGTGACTGCATCATGTCTCTGAGACACCTACACCCTGTGAGCAGCCCCCCGCTCTGCATTTATAATGAATCTACCAAATGCTGCACAGTTCAGCCACCAACTAGGGCTTTTTTTAAACATACCAATCTGGGGAAATTAAGTGGTAGGGCTTGACGAGTCGCCACATGGCTCATAGGGTTATTTACCTTCCTCTGGCCCTGCCGAGGCAACTTCAGAGAGCACGGCCTGGAGCTCCCCAGTTTCCGAGTTGCTTTCCAGATCAGCTGTCGGCGCTCCTTCTGTACGACATCCTTTAGAACTTGACCTTGAAAAGGGGGTGGGAGAGTGATCCTATAGCACCTATAGCATTCAGTGCAGACGTGGGGTGGCTGCTCCGGCTACCTGCCGGATAGCACCAGCTGAGCCTCTCCCACATCCATGGAAACCTCTAACTTTGAAGCTACTTGGATTATTCACAGGGCTCTAGTTGTGGCTTCAAAGTAGAAAGCTGGATCTTCCAAGGCAGCATTCTTCCTCTGATGTACACCGCTGAATCACCCAGCCTCTGGAGTTTGTCTCTAACCCACACTTATGATGGAAAAGTTCAGTTTTCCAAAAGCCAGCCTTCTTCAAGCTGCCCTCTCACATCACAGACAGCCACAGAGCCAAGAGGCCACCCCATCAGACACTTGCTGGGTATGTAGAGAAACTCAGTTGCTTAGTTCATGGCACCTGTGTCCCATCTTGGGGAGCTAAACTGTACTTAGGGAATTCTCAAATTAGCAACAAAAAAGGGAGTGGATTCCAGGTAAAAAGCCCTCTCCCACAGAAAGAAGCCGTGTACCAACTCCTCTGGGAGGGCTTCTGGAGAGAAATACTAGAAAAATAAGCAAGAGACTGCAAACTGAAGCAGGCAAACCACACCACCTTCTGCCAGGGCAGTTATTCAAGTGAGCTGCTCTATCCCACCCCATTCTACGTAAGGAACAACAGGAGGGACTTTCAGCCCATGCATCGACCATGGCAGGTGCCTTGGAGGCATCAGTGGCAGGAGCAAGAGCTCCGAAGTCATTTACCCTCCTGGCTGCACACACCTGATTGTAGTGATTTGTTCAGCAAGGGAAGAACTTACCCCAGGGCAATAGCTTTCCTCGTCTTCTCTGCAGCACTTAAACCGTTCAAACCAGGAACCCCCACATCACAATCTGAGCCTTCGCAATGCCTGTCCTCTGGCTTCAGCAACGCCTCACCAGCACCACCAATGGCCAAGGGCCTGGGGGAGCCGTGCCTAGTGCTATGCTTCGCACTTCCTATGCAACCTGGGAAAAGCAGCAGTGAGTTCTAGAGTGCAACAAAGACATTTCCCAAATCCACTCAGTGAAAGACACAGATTGGATTATGAATTTGGGTGGCAAATGCTGGCAAAGATAACCGGCATTTAATGTCCCTGTCTAAGCAGTATTTGCCATTAGGATGGTTTCAAGAGCTCGGTGGCCAGGTTTCTTCCACAGTTCCTGCTTCCAAGAGCACAAGGTCAGGACCTCCCATACAAGACTTCCTGGGGTAGACACACCGCTCAGATATATGTAGAAGGAAAACTGGGGCCATTTGCTAGCTAGGTGGAGAACACCGAGAAGTCAGTGTGCTGCTTTGTTTAAGCAGCAGATGCTCCAATCCAGCAACTATGCTATGAACATGCAAAGGCAGGTCTCTGCACTTGGGCAGCAGCCTTTGTGGCAGCAGTTGTGATGGCTGCTACATCAGCAGGGTAGAGATTTCCACCCCCGACCCCCATCCCAGGAGCTCTCCTTTAGATCCCACATCTGTTTAGTACTATGGAAAGGGCAAGGCTAGTAACCTCCCCCAGTGCTTGCTTGGGACCCTCCAGTTCAAGATTTCTGTAGTACAGCTTTCCTGGAACTGCCACCCACGATGCTGCACTGAAAAGCCAGAGTTTGTCTAGTGACCATAGCATCCACTTCCACTGATACCCATTGCAGGAATAAGTCTCCCAAGAACTTTAAGTAGAATTGTCTATTGCCCTATAGGCAGTGGAAGAATCAAACTTCTGAGACTTGGCTAATAAAGGACAAGTTAAAATATAGCATTACAAGAGACTGATTGCAAAAACAGGGTCTTCAAACTATTTTAGAAAGGCAAGAGGTTACTGCCAGAACAAGGATGCCTCTGGAACGCAAAGCATGAGCGGTGCTGAACACCAGTGTCAGAGTCATAGAATCACTGAGTCGGGAGGGACCTAGACAGATCACTGAGTCCGACCTCCCGCCATGGGCAGGAAGGAGCACTGAGGGTGGGAGGGGTCGTAAGACCCCAGCCAGGTGCCTGTCCAGTCTCCTCTTGAAGATCTCCAGGGAAGGTGAGAGCACCACCTCTCTGGGAGCCTAGTCCAGGCTCTGGCCACCCTTACAGTGAAGTAGTTCTTCCTAATATCCAACCTAAACCTCTCCTCCCTCAGCTTGTGGCCATTGTTCCTGGTGACTCCAAGGGGGGCCTGGTGAACAGACTTTCCCCGAGTCCCTGCTGCTGGCCCCTGATAAGGTTGTAGGCAGCCACGAGATCCCCCCTCAGTCTCCTCTTGCGCAGTCATGGAGAAGTCGGGCTGGAAGGGACCTCCACAGGTCACCTACTCCACCCGCCTGCCTGAGGCCAGATCATCCCTATCCAAACCACCCAAAAAACCTTCATCTAAACTCTACCCTCAATCCCAACACAACATAGACCAAACGCTTAATCTACCACAGGTTAAGTGAGGGAACCACCGTGGCCAAAGCCCTGCTTTTATAAAATGTTGTCAATATACGCTCAAGAGATCCTGGGCAGAAGGCCATGATCCCTGCTACACAGGAAGACAAAACCCCCTACAGTCCACAGCAATCTGACCATGGGGTAAAATGCCTTCCTGACTCCAAATATGGCGACAAGTCTGACCCAGAGCAGAGGGACAAGACCCTCTAGCCAGGCACCTCCAGCTTTGCTCCTGGTAGAAGAATTGCCACACCCCAGTTGAAGTCCCCAACCTTAGCTGTAGCCAACTGGGGAAGCTTAAACACACCCAGACACATATAGCAGGAAATAAAAGGTGGGGAGGGGAAAGGCAGGGAGCAACTGGCAGAGTCCTGAAGCATGGGAAATACCCGTGGTAGGAAACAAGCATAGCTATGCCTAGATCATCCCCAACTAGTGGCCACCCAACCTCCTCTTGAACACCTCCAGTGGTGGGGAGTCCACAGTTTCCCTAGGTGTCTGCTTCACTGCCTCACTCCTCTCACAGTGAAGAAGTTTTTCCCAACATCCAATCTAAATTTACTCTGCTGCAACTTCAAGCCACTGGTCCACGTCCTCCTCTGTGGCAAGAGAGAAAAGGTGCTTTCCCTCTTCTTGATGGCAACCCTTCAAGTATTTGAAGACTGCCATCATGTCCCCCCTTAAGTGCCTTTTCTGCAAGCTGAACATGCCTAGCTCCTTCAGCCTCTCCTTGTGCAATTTGCACTCCAGGCAGATCATCTTTGCTGCCCACCTCTGGACACACACTAATTTTTCCACGTCCTTTTTAAAAATGTGGAGCCCAGAACTGCACACAGTACTCAGATGAGGCCTAACTGGTGCCAAGTAGGGAGGTACTATCACCTCTTGTATCTTGCCACGCAAAAGCTTAGTACAACGGTGTGACTGGTCCACAAAGTGCTGTACTGGCTCTATAACATACAATCTATTTAAGAAAAGTAGATGACGTGTACATTTTCAGACAGACTTCTTCCAAGGGCAAGGGCAAGCTTCCTAGAAGCATTCTTACAAGAGGTTCTTGGAAACGTTACAAGGCACATCTCTAGACTCCACGTTTACCTTCAGAGGAAGTCAGACAGTCTCCTTTTGAGCGAAGATTGTTCTCCCCACAGTCCATGGCTCTTCGTAGAGACAGGCTGCCTGCTGCTCCAGACCGGGCAGGTTTGGGCGAATTACTTTTCTTACTTGTGGCTGCAAACAAAGCATTTAATTTCTTTCAATACGAGATTGGGCTGCTTTCATGCTTCTGGAGCACTCAACAGAGATTTACTCTGAGTAATCAAACTCAGTGCAAGCTTAACTGGCAGACATCTATTCCTGGATACAACTGCAATCTAGGGAAGTGACAGTTATAATTGCCCCTTCTCCCCTCCCCATACACTTACCATTCCTTATGTAACAGCTTGTAACCGATGACTTTGTCAAGAGCTCCATCCCCAGTTCTTGTAGCTTGCTGCAGCTGTCTGTTCCACAGGCAGCCAGAGCCCCCTGGTCAACAGGGAGGAAGCCAGGCTGTCCATCACAAGCGCCTGTGTTGCTGCTTCTTACTTCCGACAGCTGGTTTTTCACATCAGACATTTTGCTTCGAACTTCGGCCATCTGAGTTTTGAGTCTCTTCAGCATCTTCAAGTCAGGGGGCACGCGCCACATGGCCTGGTGCCTCCGCTGGTCTCGATCTTTTAGAGAATAGGATGATGCTTTAGAAGAGGAAAGATTGAAGGGACACAAAGGTTAAAAAGTGCCCAGCAAATGGACTGGCTGACAAGTTAACGACCTCATGAAGTTAAAAAGATTTGTGGGACCTCACTTGTTTTGCCCTACTATTTTCACACAGTTCACATGTTCTCTGCAGTCTGCCAGGTTATGTAATAGGAAATGCAACCATTTCACATTTGGGTCCTGCAGCACTAGCATAAGGCTGCAACATTTGGGTTGCAAATGGTGCGAAACAGGTTTAACATCCCATCAGCAAGTATTTTTTATTTTATTAGCTTCTGATTTTTATACCTGCTGGTCCAAATTAACCTACCCATCCTATTAACATGGCTAGCAGCCACGGGCCCTCTAAACTGCTAAGAGAAAGGACTAATGCAAAACACAGTTCCCCCCTGAGGTTAGCAGATATCCATGTTATACCTTTAATTGCTAGGAAAATAGAAGAGCGTAAAGAAAAAATGTTAGCACCTATCAAAACCACACTTCAATAGGGACTAGAACAGTGTTATCCTGTTCACACTGGCAACAAGTGATAATGTGAACCCTGGACTGCCATATGCTCTCTAACATAGCCTCTGCTACCATCAGTTCTTGAGGTGCAGACTGCCCCCCACCCTCCCCATGCACACGTTTTAGACTTCCTGTGTAACACTTAAACCCTCCTGTATTACCTCCAGCAGGCGAATGGGCAATGGGTGCCCAACACAAGATGATCCTATTTCATCTCACTTAATTCACCTCCATTAACTTCCTCCTGTCTGGGGAGACAGCAGCTCTCTCAGCCGTTGAACCTCAGGGGGGAAGTGGGTAAGAAGACAGCTCTGTAGTGCTGGGAGCTGCGCTTTCCCTTTGTGTGCCCTTCATGATGAAGGGAGCCAATTCTTACTGCTAGGCAGGCGTGAGAGTTCACCTGCTCACTAGTCTGATGGCAAATGCATGTCTTGGATACCAGCATGAATTTTATATGCATTTCAAATTAACTGACAGTTCAGAAAGAGTCTGAAGTGAAAAAACTCCCTTAGGGAACTGGCTGCACAAGATCAGGGCTAAGAGATAATGCATAGGTGAGCCTATACCGTAACAAGTCAGCATTAGATCTACTTTGAAATCTATCTGTAATGCTTTCAATCCTTTAAGTGTCTCGCTGCAAATTCACCTGGCTCAGAGCTGTCAACTCCAATGGCACTTGGAAACCAAGAAGGTGAAACCTAGCCAGCCCTGAAAAAAAAGCCAGAAGCCTGCTTCTAACAGGATGACTGAATAAGCCATGGGCACCAGAGTCAGGTCTTTAGGAGGTATCAACAAAATAGATGATACTGATTCTGGGGTAAGCAGCTGGAGGATACAGAAATCCTAAACTAGCACATTCCCTCATTCGGGGGGGGGGGGGGG